CCCAGATAAAAGTGGGCCATGATATTTGAAGTCTCCAAAGGTGTAATGGTTCCAAAAGAGTATATGAGCAAAATCAAGAGGAATGGAGGCTACAACATGAGAGAGAATCCAAAGATATACTGGTAGGATCATATCTTGAAAGAGCACCTTGGGGAAAATGTGTGTGTAAGGAAGTAATGCAATACCCATAGATATGGTGGAAGAGTGGAAGCCAGAATATGAGGAGTCCATCAGGAGGATGACAAGTAAGCATCAAAGCCATAGGCTTCCAACTCAGTGTCACGGGATAAGATATCTCCCCCTACCGGAATATTGATTATGTGAAGAAGGTCAACTAGGATGGAGATCATATGACCAAACACAAGAGTTGTGAAAGTATGTTCTATGATTTTAATTAAAAAATACCTTACTATTTCATGGTAGATGAGAGTGGGAGGCTCATCGGGAGAAAGTTTCAACCAAGAATGTAAAGGTAGTGATTTACTTCATGGTTGATTAAGTCAAAAAAAAGATATTTGATAGGTGGTAGTGATTTCCCGGTTGGAGTAAGCTTGGTCATGATGATGGGAGTTCAAAGGATTATGATCCAACAGAAGAGCTCCTATGAATGTGTTTGTAAAGGAAAACACCATGATAAAGAAATTCATATAAGAAACATAACTGAAATAGGAAAATTGGGAGAAGCAAGCTAAGAGAGGAAAAGGCCCCATGTTTTCTCGTGTTTGAATTTGATATCTATACGATCATGAAATCAATTCACAGCTCATGACGTCGTTTAATAAATTTCATTAATGCCAAAATCATGGTTCAAAAAGGCGTGCTTAGGCGCGCATTAGCAACGCCAAAACGCCTTGTCTTGGGGTTCCGTAATTAGAGGAATGCAGAACACGTCAGCGGAGTATGACAACACCTAGGTATCTCCTTGGTGTAATTGCGCGGAGCTAGGAAGTCCATATCCAAATGAATAAATTAACATCATCTACCAACCCAATCTTTTCAATAATTCAAGAACTTTGTGAGCAATTAAGCAACGATTCTATAAACTTGTGAGCTAGTTTTCTTATTGTTAAGAGTTAAGTAAGTTATTAATCATTTGAAATGAAATATAGTGTTGCAAAACAAATATTTCATTCATTATTTAGTACAAAGCTATTTTTTTTCCTCCAATGCTTAAACAAGTTAGGCGCTAAGTAAGATCCCAACTCCCGCCTCACACCTAGTGCTTTCTGCTCTGGAACCTTGAGCAAAACTGCTTCTTTGTGTTATTATTATGTTCTTACTTATTACTCATTAATACCCTGAGCTAGGCAATAATTACATAGTCAATTGACTAAGTAATGAATACGTTATGTACTTAAAAGAGTCTTTTTGGAAGTTGTGAATGTTTTAATGTGATCGTTACTATAATTGTATTGTTTAGAAATTAGAATACATCATTTTTTAATGAGATCATTTTTTTTTTTTATGAATCAGTGGGTTCTTATTCATCAAAAAGAAACATGCTAGCAACACCCTTGCTAGCTAGGTAAATTTCGAAGCAGAATTTTAACAACTACGAAAACCAGCCCCAAAACTACTTCTGATACATGACAAGCTACTCAACCCAGAAGAGATTCACCCTTTCCCGCCCCAGAACAAACACAACTTCAGTTCTGATAACAGCCAATACCTCATTCAAGCTCCTAACTTTACCCCCATACATTCTACAGCATCGTTCTCGCCACATCTGACTAATCCAGGACTGCCAAATAAGCCTCCCTGCCTCAGCTTCCTCTGTCTGCTTACCATACTTCACAATCAACCACGAGATCATGTCCTCCCAACGTTGAAACGTAGGGATCTGCATACAACCTGTGAACAACATATCAAGAATCTGTCTAGGGAAGGGGCAGAGAGTAAACAGATGCTGCCTACTCTCAACTCCTCCATCACATAAAACACAGTTCAAAGGACCTTGGAACCCCCAGCTCTGCATTTTATCTCTTGTTTGAATACTATCCCTGTTAACCAACCAAGCAATCAAACGATTGCTTGGAATGGCCACTCCTTTCCATAACAATTTCCACCAGGGAACCCTCTGCTGGGAGGGTCGAATAAGTTGCCAAACTCTTCTTATAGAGAAACGAGGCATAGGCAATCCATCTAGTAGCAATTCACCATTCATTCTCGAAATAAAGGGGGCTAGACCCCTTCTGAGCTTTAATATTTTAAGCCAATTCCAGGACCCTGAGGTACTAGTATAATCCCATAAGCTTCTCACCTTCAATTTGTATTTGTGAACCCATGCCACCCACAAAGACCCCTCCTGAAGTAAAAGCTGCCAGATATGCCTTGCTGCACAGGCACAGTTCCAACTACTCATGTCTCTAAATCCAAGACCTCCCTCTTTCTTTGGATAAGTGATTTTTTTCAAAGCCACATTGGCTCTGAGCTTCACCCCTCTTTCCACTCCCCATATAAAGTTACTACATAATCTCTCCACCTCTCTGATCACTGCCTTAGGGAGAAGAAAGACAGACATCCAAAACTGATTCAGACTATAAAGCACAGTACCCACCAGCTCAATTCTGCCAGCATAAGACAGCGACTTTGACTTCCAAGAAGTGATTCTAGCAACAATTTTCTCAATAAGAGGTTTACAAGCTGAGGAACTCAACTTACCAGAAATCAAGGGCACCCCCAGGTACCTAACAGGGAACTCCCCCAGCTTGTAGCCATATCTATCTGCTCTAATTTGCCTTTCCTCTTGAGGTAACCCTCCGAAGTAAATTTCACACTTGCTAGGGTTAGACTTCAGACCAGAAATCTGCCTAAACTGACTCAATATTCTTTGCAGTTCCTGTATCCCATAATTTGAGGCATCACTAAAGACCAAAAGGTCGTCTGCAAAGCAAAGGTGGGTGAGGTTTATCCCCTTGCACATGGGGTGAAAGGGGAATCTACCAGCAGCAGCAGACTAGTCAATCAAACAGGTAAAGACTTCCATGGAAACTGCAAATAGGTAGGGAGACAGAGGGTCTCCCTGCCTAAATCCTTTTTTTGCAGAAAAGTAACCCACAAGACCACCATTAAAACATACACTCAACATTGGAGTACTAACACACATTTTGATCCAAGTAATAAATCTCTCAGGTATTCCCATACACTTCAGAACTTGAAAAATGAAGGACCAGTCGACCGAATCAAAAGCTTTCATGAGGTCGATTTTTAAAGCACACCTAGGGGAGATATTGCTATGAGAATACTTGCTGACCAGCTCATGTGCCATTAAAATGTTTTCACCTATCAACCTCCCTTTAACAAAGGCAGTTTGGTTTTTACTAATCAGGTCAGGGAGAAGGGGACTCAATCGATTAGCTATAAGTTTGGAAATGCACTTATACAGTATGTTGCAACAAGATATGGGTCTGAAATTCTTCATTTCATCAGGGTTGGGGATCTTAGGGATCAGTGCTAAGATGGTAGCATTAACTTGCCTAGGTAATCTATCTTATTCAAAGCAGTATTGGATAGCAGCAGTTACCTCTAGACCAATAACTGGCCAAGCATATTGGAAGAAGGCCGCAGAGAAGCCATCTGGACCAGGGCTTTTATCCCCATCCATTTTGAAAATGACCTCTTTAATCTGCTCCTCTGTGAAAAAGGCACAGATTCCTTCAGTTTTCTCTTCAGTGATCTTCCATTTCAGCAAACCAGATATATACCTGTCTGATTGAACCACTACCTCAGGGTCCTCAATTCCAAGAAGATTCTCATAAAATCTCACTGCAATTTGTGACATCTCATCTACATCCTAAACTCTTTCCCCTTGCTCATTTCTCAGGACTCGAATAGTACTTCTCTTCTGCCTAGTCCTTAAGGATCTATAGAAATAAGCTGAGTTAGAGTCTCCTGTTTTCAACCAATTTTCCCTTGACTTCTGGCGAAGAAAAGACTCCTCATCACAATATAGCACTCTCAACTCCTGTTCCAGCTGAGACATTTTTGTGAAATTCTCAGGTGATGGATTAGACAATGCTTCCTGCTGAATACTTTTGACTTCTGCTTCTTTTCCTTTGACCCTTTCCCTTAAATCCGAGTACTCTTCTCTGTTTAACTTCCTCAACAGGTTCTTCAAAATTTTTAGCTTCTTACAGACTCGAATGAGGGGATGACCAGTCACCCTGCTCTGCCATGCTTCTGCCAGTAGTTCATCGAATTTTGGATGCCTCAGCCAGAAGCTAAAAAACTTAAATGGTTTTGGCAGAGACTTCATAGAAGCACAGGTATCAACATAAAGTGGGCAATGATCAGATACCCCAGGGGCTTGAATATGAACTTGGCTGTCTTTCACCTTATCCAGCCATTCAAAGTTGACCAGGACTCTATCTAACCTTTTTGCTATTGGATTAGCCGATTGCTTGTTCAGCCAGGTAAACCATGGACCCGAGGCTTGGTGCTCTTCCAACTCCAGATCAGTGATCCAGTCGTTAAAAACCAACATTTTAGAGTCCACTACTGGAGAATTAGATGCCTCTGAAGAGTTTCTAACATCATTAAAATCACCCAAGACAATCCAAGGAGCATTTGCCACTTTGATTCTTCTCAGCTCATTGTACAGCTCCCTTCTATTGCTCTCATCATTCGAAGCATACACCACAGTGCCAAAGAACATTTGCAGCCCCCCTACCATAAATTGTATGAACTGATCAGAGGAATGCAAAACAGCAAGCTGAATCTCAATACACAATATATGAATTGTTTTTTGATGTTGCATAAACAATCATTTAAAATAAGTGACTGTTATATCTTAATTTTTCGCTAAAATTGTTGAGATTGTTATAACTCAGTTTTTACTTTTTAGCTTAGCTTATATGACGTATGCAAGTAAAAATATCAAACATTGAATTTGACAATGAATCAAATTCTTCAATATATGCATGACAATAGCAACTTTCAAACGACTCTTAGCCACCAGAACCTGACTTACTAAAGTTAAGTATCAACATAAATAATATTAATGAGTTACAGGTTTCACAATGAATATTCAATAGACCTATTTTATTCCAGTATTCTACATATCTCGGGCAAGGAATAACTTCTAGGATGGCAATCAAACCCATGGCCGCGGGTATTCGACCGCCCCCGACCCAGTCAACGCGGGGAATCCCCGCTTTGACCGGGTATGGGGCGGGTATGGGTAAAACCCGCAAAAAGTTTGATGGGTATGGGGCAGGTATGGTTTTAGCCTCCCCCGCCCCATACCCATCCCCATACCCGCCCACCAAGATAAATGTCTTCATATATAAAAATAATATGTGCGTCAAATTATTATCTATCAATGATGATGAAGATAACTTGAGAAAATAAATAGTAGAAATGCAATTGAGTGACCACCTTAATCAAAACCTAATTCATTTCTCTCAATTCTCATTTCACTCTTTCACTTCCCCCATTGTCAACAAAATTATGTTAGTTAATTATTATTTAATAGATGTATCAGAGTTAGAACATAATAATTTGAAAAATATTATACTCTATATTATGTATTAATGGATATTTTAGGATCATATTCTTTGAACCATATTAAAAAAATGACCGTGTTTTGTTGACTTCATGATATAATATGTTCGTTTAGAGTTATAATTAAAACTTTTATTGTAAGTTTTAAGTATAATAATGTTGGATGTACGGGTATGGGTATTACCAATGGGTACCCGAAACCCACAGGTATGGGTATTACCCATGGGTACCTGAAACTCACGGGTATGGGGATGGGTTTGCAAAACATTCCCTACATGGGTATGAGGCGGGTATGTGTTTGAGTATTTAAAGATGGACATGGGATGGTTTAGGCAAACCTGCCCCAAACTCGCCCCATTGCCATCCCTAATAACTTCAGATTCTACTCCCCAGGAGCTCCATGGCATTACATTCTGGAGTCAAACATTGAGGGAAGCGACAATCTGCTGAAGCTACGGCAGCTTTATACAATTTTCAAGGCATCGCCATATTTTCAGTGGCTTTAATACAAATGAAGCTGACCACGTCCTATAGAGATCATTGAATCAATAGCAATCTACAACAGGGGCTGCTGTTTTAGTAGCCTCAAACAGACCAGACCTTCATATAATACAAATGAAGCTCTTTCTATAACAGGGGCTGCAGTTTTAGTAGCCTCGAGCAGACCAGACCTTCGCTCCCCCATATGTTCTTCATCCAACAAGGAACAGTCACCATTGCTTTATACATCCTCTTGTTGGCGGTCACTACCACTGCGTGCCATTTCCTCCGCTTTCCCTTCAAGCCTCAAGACATGGCTTTCATCCTTCTCGTCCGTTCTCAACATGAGTTTCTCCTCCCCTGATAACGATGGCACAGGCTCTTGGACGACAATGGAATCCGAAACTCTCACCTTCATTGGTCGCCACAATTCAGTCGGTCACTTCGAGTTTATTATAACTAATCAAAACTCTGTTCTCTGACATGCGTGCATACCTGAAGCGGCTTCATGATATCCGTGTCTGATTCATCAGTCTTTCTTAGTGCCGCTTCTTGAGCTTGCATCTCCATGGAGTCCCGGACCAGTTGGCTCAAAAAGTTGACGTCATCAGACATGACTCCAAGTCCTTTCAAGAGCTTAGACCCAAGTTGTAAACTTGTCTGCAACAACACATGCTCGGACGTTAGGAAAACCAAGCTGAGTTATCAAAGATTAATACAGAAGGGCAACAAAGATTAACATGAAACAAGTATCGGAAAGCTCGAATAATTTGCTCCTACCTCTGCATTTTCTAGAATTGCATCCGTAGCACCAGCTTTTTTAAGATCTAAAAGATGCGTGATATTTTGGGCTCTAGCGTATATCGGGATCTGTGACATGCAATATTGACCAAAAAGAACAATCCGACAAGGGGGCGGATTAGAAATATCGATGGTCAGACAACGGAAAATAAATACAAAAGAAGATATCACACAGTTTTCGTCATCAAATGTGAAGTGAGAGTAAGCTCTGCCTGAAGCCTCACCCCAGGAAAGGCAAGTCGGAGCTTCTGAATAGCCTCAATTGACTTCTTCTTGCCTGTGTAGGTAATCATTACAGCCTTAGGTGAAGAGATTCCTGCCGCTCGCAGCACTTCAGGGCTCGATCCATCCCCATAGAGAATAGGGAAACCAATTTTTCTAGACGCCTGTGTACGGAAGTTGGAACCAAATGGCATAAACTACGACGAACTACCAAAATATGAATTGGGAAGCATGCAAAGTGTAGTTTCGTTGAATGCACGCAGAACAACAAGCAATGAGTACGTCCAATTGAGAATGTTCAACCACTAGGATCTAACTCAGAAGGACTGAAGCTGATGTTCCAGGAACCTTTAAAATGCAGGAAGGGAATAAGGATCATGAACAAGAAATTTTCAGGACAAGTTGCATGCATAATGGCAAGTAGACTTACATATATCCAATTCTCCTTACCTTCACCACAGATGGGTTCAGCTCGAAAGCTACATAAGGCATTCCCGCCATAGCATCTCCCTCTACTGCTGAAGCTAATGGAGTGCCCAATAAGTTTGCCAACACCTGCAGAGAACTTGCAAAATTAGAACACATTATAGCTAGAATCCCGTGGGTTTGCTCATTCACGTTTGAGAATATTGTGATGTACCTGGCCCATCTGTCCAAATCCAAGGATGACAACCGGTTCGCTGCCTTCAAAGTTCACTGGCATAGCCCCTTTCTGAAAGTAAATAATTCTCTTCTAAGGTAGCAGTTCTTTGCATTTATAAATATCATATAAAACGTAGTCAATAAAAGTGAGGAAGAGTCCATGAATTCCAACGTACTATCAAATGGGTTATATTCATTCCTTTCATAAAGTTTCTTTTAATTTTCAAGACCAAATGAATGACGTATATGGAATCAAAACTTTTAGCTAATAGGAGTTAAATCTCGTATGCACTCACAGCGTCTATCTTATAAAAACAAAGACAAACCACATTGGTTAGCCACAATGGTTTCAAACTAGTCTGGAACACAGGAACAGGGACATACATCTTCTGTATCAGACTTGTCTTCAATAAAATCAGCAGCTCTTCTTCCAAGGTCATTAAGCCACGGGGTTAATGCCATTGACAATACAACAACAATTATAAGAAGCTTGTTAAGCTCCAGTGGTAGCACTCCCAACCTGCGACAAAATACATACGTATAACAAGGTTGGATGCATGAAGCAGCAGAGCTGTACAAGAAGTATGTCACTGCACATCTATGCATCATATGAATACCTGTTAGCCAGAGAGAAGACAACAAAAGCAAACTCTCCACCCTGTGATAATAGCAAACCAATTCTTACACTTTCTTGCAAAGTGAGTCCAACACGGGGACCTATAGCTGTTATAATCAGTGTTTTGATGACAATTAAGCCCCCCAAGAGTGATAGTACATTTGGCCATTCTCGAAGCAGCAGCTGCGTCACAAGTAAGAACACCAATTCAGAGAAGGAAAAAATAGTAGAATGACCTCAAATTCCCCAATAATAGATAGATGTATGATGTATCTATCAAACCTAATTATTTACACCCCACTGCATATTAGTAATTGCCAGTACAATCTAGAAGCATTCAAGTTTTGTGATCTACCTCCATGTCAATAGAAGTTCCTGTAGTCACAAAAAATAATCCAAGAAGTAACCCCCTAAATGGCCTTATATCAGCTTCAATCTGTGTACGGAAATTTGTTTCTGCCAAAATAGCCCCGGCTAAAAATGCTCCAAGCTGTAGAATGACCCGAAGTAAGCATTTATTTGGGCACAGAAACGACAATGAATTAAACTAAAATTGCATGAGGGTTTAAGACCGTATCACTGAAGCCTAACTTCTGGGTGATGAGAGAAGTCCCAGCAACTGTCAGCAGGCAGAGAGCAACAAAAGCCTCTGAGCTCCTTGCTTCTGCAACAACCTGAATAACTTGAATCAGCCTCTATGGTGAGGAACAACCTCATGCCTCAGCTTTCGACCGCAACTTTAAACAGGGTATAGAGGGAGTCCCACCTCAAAAACTCGCCTTAGAAGGTATTTCCCCCCAAGAGACAGCACTCCCAGTCCAAGTAAAGCCTTCAAACTTTCATTAATAAGCATGGGCAAGACACTTTCCCCGACCAGAGTCTGTTGAAGATGGATCAGTATCCAAATTGAATTAAATGAACTTGGTACCCAAACATAATGATGCAGTTCACAGATCGCAATAATCTTCAGTGACACAAACTCATTTGCATTATTTTTTAAGCTTGTCCACAGTTTTAACGCTCATACAAACAATCAAAGACCATAGTTGAGAAAGAAAGTCAAAGTAGACCACGAATCAGTGAAGGCAGTAAAGAAAATTTGAGATTCCGATGACCCTGGGTTTGTACCCAATCATAATAAGTTGTTTTCTCAGTTTTTTTTTTTAAGATAATCATATTAGTTGTCTTAAACAGAGAAAGAGTAAACATTTGACATACCTGGCTCTCTAGGATAGGAAGTACGACTAAGAGGGGAACAACAGCTATATCCTGCAAATATAAATGAATTATGTCATGGAGTTGTTTATTGACTTAAATTTACGAGGTTTTACCTGTGAGTTATATAGATTTTAAAAGAAAAGTAGCCACATGAATGGAGTGACAATTATCCAGACTAGCCATACACAAGTACTTTTATTAGAAAATACAAGAGTAAAAGCAAACCTGAAACAGAAGTATCCCCAAAGTTGCTGAACCGAATCTTGTAGGAAGCTCACCCTTCTCTGCAAGAAGCTACAGAGTGTGCTTAATAAGCCTCAAGATGCTCGTCTGAATGAGTTCGACATTGCAATAAAGTTTAGGACCTTTCTAGAGCAGTACATATGACATGCAATAAGTAGATGGCATTCCTGCTTAAATTTTTGTCTATGTTACATGTAGATGCAACTATTTCCTTTTCTCCGTCATCTACAAATTGATAGGCTGATTCTCTTCTACATCCATCCACATGTCTTTTGTGTTATGGTTGGAACAAAGCAAGATGGCAACAAAAGAAATGTATAAGAAAAAGAAACAAGCGCATGCAAACTACTGAAAACTCTCGACTTATCAATATAGCAAAAATATTGCCTGGATTTTGAAATGATCTCAAATTATTAACCGTTGAAATAAGCAAGGTTTAGGGGTAAGTCTATTTAGCAGAAAGTACCTGAAGAACAAAAGCAGAAGACGACAGAGAGAGAGCTGCACCGATAACAATGGCCTCATCAATGCTTCTAATATTCACCTGAGATTCAATGAAGCCCACATGTGAAATTGTAGTCCCCTGATATTTAGCCACGAGACTTTCAACAGAAACATCTCAGCAAAACATCAATGTTAACGTTGGATCGTGGATATGCTTATTTGACAAATTATTTGCTTGGATAGCCTTATTTTTCAATAATTTATCCATGAAATTTACAAGGAAAAGGAACCCAGTAATCAGAAAGAGATGCAGAATCTGATCCCAGAAAAAACAACACACACATAAAGACAATGAAAATAGGGAAAGGGCCAGGAGCATCAGGGAAGGTCAATGTACTCACCAAGTCAGACCTTGAGTGAAATAGGAACTCCAAAATTCTCGTTCCAATAGCCCCATTAGGTGGAAGCTCAAATGCTGTAAAAGCAAGAGTGGATAACACAACCTTCAAAACAATACGAGGACAAGTGAAAAGATTGTCAACATAAGTGTTTCCGCAGAACTGATCATATGTTCTCATTTCGCCAGGCCTCATCAACAGTTATATGTTAGGACAGTGCAAGCTACAGGCAATAAATGGCTTGTAAGGTGCTTCTGAAAAGGGTTCTCAGAAAGCACATGAGGTGATGTACCTGAGTCAATCCCATGCCAAAGGCAAATTTTGCAAGGGCTTTTAGTCGGGCAAGTGAGAGCTCCAAGCCCATCTCAAACAGCTGATGAAAAAACGAATCACATCAGTTGACTTTGATACTGCAGTTACATATAATCAATACTCCATGTGACATTCAGAGTTCAACAGCTAGAAGATCCAAAGGGTAGCTACAAAAGAAGTGAGGTGCCGCCAATGTCCATTCTTACTGGCATACAGTGGAAACATCAAGAAATCATGGCAAACAGGGGAGAAAAAAAAAGGATTTCATTGTTATCAATTCCAAGATGTGATTGCATTTTAGAGAAAAGTAACAGCTTGCGTAAGTATGATAACTGAGTGTGCATAATAGATAATACTGGAGACAACAACATAGAAAGTGGCTTTAGAAGGAGGTATATTGATACTGATTTTCCTTACCAGGAACAGAATTCCCCATTCTGACAGAACCTTAACATCAGTCAGATTCCGGATGAAGCCAAACTGATTCAGTACGACGCCAGCAAAGAAGAAACCAAGTATCTGGGGGAGCAGCAAACAATATATTAGTTATAGCTTATTCAGATAGATGAACGGCTTGAAAAATACACATGCCTAATAATCAGATGCGCATGTGGGGTACACATAGTTTATACAGAAATGTGCATGAACTGACATATACGTATGCACATACAAAAATTATAAGAACGGAAAACCTGTAAAATACATGTGCAAACTATCATAGATGTGCACTCATGCATATGAATGGTTCATATTAAAATATCATGAATCTCATGATAAATAGTACAAGAAGAAAATCAGCTGATGATTAGATGTTTCAAACTTACTGGGCTAGCTTTAATGAACCTGAACGCAGGGACAACAATAACAGTCACAGCCAAGAAAGTCAATGTATCCAACCCCAGATCATTGATGACTTCTACGGCACCAGCAACCTCGATGTTTGAAGATATCCGAGTATGGTTCAATTTGTGTTTAAATAGGTACAATCCTCCTCTTATCGGTACTGATGAAGTAAACAAGGCTTTGCTTTCAAGGGCTCTGGTTGAAGAAGTGAAAGAGTAATTACTTATCCTGCATCTGACTGCATTAAACTTCACATGTCTTGCCTGCTTACGCGAAGAACGAGTACCACAGAAATATCCATGAAAACTTGATACCCCATAACAGTAACCCCCAAATGAGCTAGTGTGCTGGGGGAGTTCATGTCCCTGCAAAGAATCAAACGAATGGAACAGACTGTTACAAGCTTGGGACTTTCCCAGTTCACCTTTTTCTTTTTCTCTTTTGTATGGAACATGCATAGTTCAAATAGTGCCAAGCACAAGAAGCAAACAACTATTCCTAAGTATAGCACAGACGCAGAACGAACAAGCCAGTCACAAAAGTTTGTAAACAAGTAGGATAGGCATAAACATTAGGACGAAGTAGAATCAAATGGGTAAGAACTTGAGATGAAAATTTCCACATTGAACAGGCTTGTCATGAGAGTTTGAACAGGCTTGTCAAGCTACTTAACACTGGGTTCAACGTCCTCCGTTGCCAAATTGAAGGGTCAACATGAAAATGCGAAAATAGATAAAAGAAGCTGAGAGCTTCGACTCTCAGTTGGGGAGTGTTGGTGAGGAAGCAAATTCAAGTACCTTGGGGAAGCGGGAACAACTCATGGAGTCCAACATAGTCCTAACGGGAACAAAGAAGAAGAATCAGAGAGATGCAGGATAAAAATGCCTTCATCTGAGAGAAACCCAGAAAGGATCAACCACAAACTCTATCCAACAGATTCACCAAGGCAAGCTGAGAAGTTTTGGTCCTCCGTGGACGAGGAATGGAAACCACTCTCTGCCTCTGCCGGACGGCAACCCAATTTTTCCCTTCTTTCTTTCTGTGTTTTTCGTTTTAATTTGTCGTTTGTACCGTACTTCCACCGTTGCCACTCGTCTCTTATTTTATTTTTATTTTTTTCTGTTGGAGGAAAATTGGAGAGGAGAAGTCTATGTGGCGGATTTCGTTATCTGACAAAATAAGTTTTGATTGGGAAAAAATTAAGCCACGCAGCACACTCCGTTCCTTCTCATTCTCAGTATTCTTGGACGTACATAATTCGAGGAGCCGCACGGATAATCTTTTCATATTTTAATAGTACAAAAGAAAAATTAACAAGGCAAGAATAGGACTTTTCAGTGAGTGGTTTGGTAACGATCTTGCTTGTTTACGAAAAAGAACGAAACTTAGGGTTTTAGTTTGCCGGTGCTGCCAAGTGGTCTCTCGGGGAAGAGAATCGATCATGGAGGATTTGCCGATCACAAGTTGAGCTCTCTATTCCAAAACCATAACTGTGATTCATCTGATTTCCCCTTGCCCTCACTACAATTCAGCTGCTTCCTCCCTCTGCTATCTGGGTAAAACGGGCTTTCTAGTGATATTCGCCAATATCTCGATTTCGATCTTTTTGGTGATCTACCATATTCAATTTGGAATTCGATTGCTCAGTTGGAGCTTTATTTTGTTGAATTCATCTTATTTGCCGGGTATTCTTCTTTTTTAGATTCGTTTGTTTTCTTAGTATATTTTGTGTTGCACTTTCATTAATTTGGCTTGGTCGCCGGTTCCGTCTGGTTTCTATTTGTCTATGTTTTTCTCTGTGTGGCAACGGATGGGTGCAGCCTGCAGGGTTGATAGAGATGAGTTCCCCCTTTCCATCCTTGGATTCCGTTGCTTGGACCTCCACTGTCGCCGTCAGTCTCTCCCTCTTCCTATTTCCGCCGCCGCTAGAGTAGCTCCTCTGGAATTTGGGACGGTGGCTTGATGGTTTCTCTTGGCAATTCAACCTTATCCATGATGACGTTGGCGTTTCCCGATACTTGAAGTGGTGGAGGGATGTGGGATGGGACGCGTGGAGCTATTAATCAACGTGGTCGATTCCCTTCAGCAGGCCTTCTAGTTGTTATTATCTATTCCACATTATTTATTATTATTGATTTATTTCTATTTCTTTCGTTCCTAATCTGTTATGGTCTTATGGATAATTATTTTCGGTTCGCCACTTTTAGTCAAATTTGCAGGGATTATTTTAGCCGCGTTGGGCCTCCAGCCTGGTGGGCTTGAAGCGTTTTTAGCAGACTGACGGGCCTCGTTGGGGCACCTTACTTTGTTTGTTTTGTAAGAGCAAGTGATTGGTGGCGGTTATACGAGCGCATGACAACGGCAGCTAACTTGTAGGCTGGTGTAGGCTATCCTGAAGCTTTCTTTGGCGGTTAGCTGTGTTTCTTTTTGCAGGGAATGGATGCTCTGCTTTTGCTATTGCTATTGCCAAGGATGACATACCTCCGACTTTCAGGTTTTGGCGTGTGTTGTGTACCCGCTTGTATCCTTTGTTGCATATTAGGATACTGACAGGGCTGCCCCTTGAGTGGCTAAAAAGGCTCTTTTATCGGCGGATTGATTAGCTATCGACCGCCGCATTTAATTATTTTATTTTTTTACATATTTGTAAGCATACTGCATTGTACACCTATCTATGACAGTAACAATATACAACTATCTATGACAAAAAAAAAAAAAAGAATAGGACTTTTCATGAATAATTATTTCATTTTACGAATAAGTCATCTAAATAGCATTGACGGAAGAGATACCTTAATTCAATCTTGCCACATTATAATTGTACTAAGAAATTGTTTGTATGAGTCATTTTCACGAGTCATTTGGAATTCTATAGAGTGACAAATGTTATTAGGATAACAATTGTTTCATTAAAAGTAAAAAAATAAATTTCACCTTCCTCCGTCCCTCCCCATAGTTACTTACTACTTTCGGAATCAGCGTCAATCCTTGCAAATTGCAACTACTACCATCACCAAAAGCGCTCACAACCTCCCTCATGTTTGGTTGTGGAAGTCGTGCATCCTCTATCCAATTTGAGAGATCGGAGGAATTTGAAGATTCAATTCAAAAGTATCCATCTACTATGCCAATGACCATATGTCGGCCATCACAAAAAAAAATGCAAAAAAAAACTTCAGAATCAGCGTCAATCCTTGCAACCACTACCATCACCAAAAGAGATCACAACCTCCCTCCTGTTTGGTTCTGGAAGTCGTGCATCCTCTATCCAATTTGAGAGATTGGAGGGATTTGAAGATTCAATTCAAAAGTATCCATCTACTATGCCAATGACCATATGTCGGCCATCACCAAAAAATGCAAAAAAACTCTGGAAGTCCTCCAATACTGGAAATTGTATTCATGGGAGTCCTTATTACAGTTCAACCCTCAACATCCCAGCTTCCAATTGTACATCTTCGGAAAGAATGGCGCTTTGCAACACCGTGGAACATAGGCGGAGCCAGCCCAGTTGGGCCTTGTCACGGGACAGGGGTAAATTTTGGGAGGAACAAAAATACTCTATATATGTTTATGCTTGTTAAGGATGGAACACGACACCTAGTACAACGTATTTTGTCACTATATCACAATTCATTACTTGATCATAAATTGACATTAAATTAATTTATTATACTATAAACCAAATATCAATGGGAATATATCTCTTTTCTTCATATGTCTATTCGGTTATTTTCCTAGCAATCTTGAAGCAGTCCAGTGGTAGCGTAGATTCCACTAGTTTTGACGGCAAGTGTAGATAAAAAAAAATTCAGCTTTGAGCTATATCAAGAACGAACTCTGAAATCGAATTCACAACCAGTTTGCTAATGATTGTGTAGTGGGATCCATTGGAAAGGACTTACTTAAGAGTATATTTTATGTTTCTTTAAGAATATGAAAATTCATCAAGGTTGTTTATGAATATACCGATTGTATTAGTCGTTATTTTTATATATGAAAATAAATTATCCAGATATTATTAATTTAATTATATTTATTAAATATTTATATATTTATAATACGAAAAAAAAGGACAGGGGTAGTTTCAAATCCTGCCTCCGCCACTGCCGTGGAATGCAATTTGTTCGAATTGGTGTCGTGTGCTCGATTGTCGTGCTTTACTATGGCGGTTGGCTGCTAACCAAGATTCAGGCCTTGACGGATTTGGGGCGGTTCATTTTTACCAACAACCAGTGGAAATTTAGGGGATTGCTTTGTAACGAACAAGGTTGTCAACCCACAGGTCGACCCAGACGAGCTGTGGGTCAAGGGTTAATGGGTCACCTGTTTTAGCCCGGAAATATTGAAAGAGTCATTATATTGTACTTATCGTGAATTCAACATAGAAAAATACAACACTACATAAACTCCAACCCACTTAAATAACATCAACCTAAATTCAAGATAGTAAAAATTCAACAACACTTAAATCCATCACATAACATTAACTCAATTCATCATAGTTAAAAATTCAAGCATACTTAAATCCACCACACTTAAAACCATCACATAACATCAACTTAGAATTCCAAATAACAAAAGAAAAGTACTCAATCTTCAAAGAAAGCTATCCATCTCCATTGCATCACTAATATGATAAATGTTGAAGTCAATTTCATCGATCACATCATACTCGAAGTCCTCTGCATTAAAACATGAAATCAAATATTCATAATTATTATCAATGAGAAGATAGTTATTATAAGAATATATAGACTTTTCTATAGTTGCTATAATGAGCATACCTTCAACACGAGGACGCTTGTTAGAAGATGATGATGATTCCTACTCCTCCTCATAAAGAGTCTTTTCAAGCTCCTCATAGTTTATATCTGCAGGTAGATCTTCTTCTACAATCCAAAAATCGATGTTATCTAATTGCTCATAATCAATTGGGTCTTTCGCCCACTCCTTCTTCAAGCACTTACAAGTCAAAGAAGATTAAACAATTAAGTATATGAATATGAAGTGTTAATGAATTTACAATGTTGCATACAATTTAATCATTACCTATTCTTCAACCTCAAATTGTAAGTCACATAAACAAGATCATTCAATATTTGATTCTCCAATCGACTCCTCCGCTTACTATGAATTTGGTCGAACACACTCCAGTTCCGCTCACATCCAGAAGAAGATGATGTTTGAGACAAAAGTCGAACAACTAGCTTCCTCAAAGGTCTCTTTTCTCAATTTGGAGTGTCGATTGAGGATGTGTTTAGATTCAGATAGTTTTACCACGTTAGATCATCTCTTACTACTTTCCACCTCCCAAACACCTCTCCTCCTTGGGTTCGGATGACAAAGTACAAAGCACCTTTTAGCGAACCACGAGACCTCGGTTCTCGCTGAACCCGACATGTGTGGCACACCCGTCTATCGCTGAGACGAGGTATCTTTTAATCAACCTCAATCCCAAAACCTAAACCGGTTGAAAAGATAACAACGAAATGAGAAGTAACCTAAGGTATCGAAACCCGTGGAACACGACATTGATAGTCGCTATACTAGCAATGTCATTCTGAGTTATACTTAGCTCATAATGGTATAGTTAGGTAAGTCGTGCAAACGATTGACAACACCGCACTGGGTGGTAGCATTTATGCGAACCAATTATTATAATATATTAACCAAAAATCTGTTTACCGTTCACTAACTTTTAGCTGAACCTTTGATCACGTGGGCTTGAAATATGGGCTTCCAAAATATGAACTTTAATTATTCTACCACTTGGATTGTTGTTTAGGGAAAAGAAGAATAAAAGTGGGCATGTACATTCATGTACAAGTGCTAAGAAAATAAAAGAAAAAAAGTAACACAAAATTATTATTATTATTATTATTTATGACCAAGGTCGTCATGTCAATTCATGTGTGTCGACTAGCTGGTTGACCGATTCATGAGGAAAATGGGTCACATATACCCACGGGTGGACCAACTGTAAGATTATCGTGTTGGAGGTGACACAACGTCGTTTTTTCTTTTGGGTTGTAAAATGCGCATTCGGATTTTATCTTTGCCTAACCTATCTTTGGAATTCTAAGTTTAATTTAGGGAAAAGAAGAATAAAAGTTGGCATCTACTATTCATGTACAAGTGCTATAAAAAGAAAAAGAAAGAAACACAAAAT